TAGAGGACGGCACAGCATGAGCAATTGTTGGTAGTTGCCGGCTCACCGCGTGGCTGCTGCGTTGAGACCCAGCGTGGAACTGTTTTTGAGACTCTAAAGGCCATTCATTACAATTTGGTGTGGGAATTCAACAGTTGATTGCACTCGATATACTAACTCCCGCCGTATGAATGTGAAATTTCCACCGCTGGCTCAGGGTGCCCTCAACAGAAGATGGGCGCTTAAATGAGTGAGAAACCTCTTGGACAATTGTGATATCTCACCCTCGGGCCCGTGTGAGGTCAAAGAGTGTTTGGGTCTCTCTTGGGCTGCAATGTTCCTCGACAGTTCATCATGGGCTATTGCATAGCATTTGTTTTATTGATTCATGTTTATTTATGTATGGGTTAGGTCGTCGTGTTGGTATTTTGTCAACTTGCTCCGACATCCATGCTCCCCACCTTCACCAACCCGCACAGAGCAGCATGGTGAGGTATGGGTAAATAACTCTCGCTATCCGCACGGCGTGGGGAGGCCCTCATTCAGCAGTTGATTTACAAAGGGGCTGTACGTGTGCTATGTTTTTTTATTTTTAATTTTACCATGTAAGGCCCACTGAGTTTCATACCTCTTTTTCAGAAGCGACCTGGCCACAAATTATAGCTCAACGATGGGGCTAGATTGAAAACTAATTTCTTTAAAATAGCTTTTTGTGTTTAGTTTGTTGTCTTTCCCCTGCACCTCCGATTAGTACGGTTTGCTACTACGGTGCGAAAGGAGTTAAACATAATACTATAAACGCATGATTTTGAACGTGGAGGGAAACACTGGAAGACCTAGAGAAAAACCCGACCACGGGGAGAACATGCAATCTCCAAATATACAGGCGTCAGGGTCGAAATCAACGCCACGACCTCCTGCATACCAGGTGAGGTAGTTAACATATCTCTACCGTGGCGCTCAAATGTAAGTCTGGCAAGGCTGTCAGTCGTGAGAGTTTTGTTGAGAGAGCGAGAGAAATTAGAGTGATAATGAAGGGGGTTGGAAAGGGAGACGGGGAGAGAGAGAGGGAGAGAGCAACATCTGCTCCTATTTGTTTTTCAGCGAAAAGTGGCCGAGTTTTCCACAGCTTTGGCAATCCTATCAGCACATGGGACTTGCTGATGAGCAAAACAACAACCCACTCCACCATCTACACGGCGGCCCTCAGCACCCTGGCCAGCGCCTATGCACAACTCAGTGGTAGCTGTCCGAGGTTCTGAAACGTCATCACTGCCGATCACTGGGCAGTTCAGCCCTCATCCCCTCACAGTGATTTCTGTCCAAGATACATTATTGAAACGAATCATTCACCTTCAGCTGGAAGACAACCCAGTCAATGCTTATTATTACGTAAAAGCGATGGTAATTATGCTTAGATTCATCAATTAAAATCAATAGATTTTTTCTTGATATACCCTATTCGTCCGTGAGCCCAGACCAGATATTTTTCATTGTCGATATCACCTGAGGTGACATAGCTTTAGCGGTTCAAATTTCTTTATGTGGCCAATAACAGTGAATTATGTAATGATCATGTCAAATGAGTGCAGTTATCAAGTAAATTCACTCTTAGTGGCCGTGTAAATCAATCGAGACGACTTAAGTTTTCCTACCTTTGGTGGTACCAATTTCTGTCCTGGCCCATGAACTAATGCATCCTTTTAGCCTGAGTAGGAATCAAATATTTTTTGCTTCTCAAATATTCCACACCGAAATAAAATACGAAGACAAATATCCTGGCGGGAGCACGTAGGCGAAGTTTGTTGTGGGAAGTAGAGGGCAACATAGCAACGTCCCTTGCTCTACTGTACTTATATGGTCCCGGTCTGTGCTCCTTTGCCTTCATCGACACTCACTGTCCAGCGTGGTGAAGTATGGTCAAATGTTCCTCATGGCCCGCACAGTGTGTATGTGTGTAGGGGGGAGGGGGGGGGTTGGGGAGCGGTAGGGTAGTGGTAAGCGCGCTGCGCTACGAAACCAACTACCCCAGTTTGATTCCCGCCCACGACCAACACCAGTGACGATTATCTGAACTGGTTCTGGGCCTCCCCTAGGTCAACTTAGCCTCAAATTAGTACCTGGTGCAATGTGAAAACATCACCACTGGGAAGACAAAGGCGGCCGAGCGTAGTGCTGACCACCCACCCCCTCGTGTGCAGTGCCGGCCTTCAAAGGTGCTCGATAACAGCACTTGCCCTAAAATTACGTGAAGGCTAAACGGGGAATCTTTGTCTTTGGTTGGCCTAGCGGTGTGGGAGTGGATTGTCACAAAGACCGTGAGTTTAATAAAATATTAACTTAAAACGTACGTTTTTCGTAGCTGATGCAATGATCCATATATGTTTAGGGTTATGTTACGTGGTGGTGATTTAATGTAAAAATACTCGTTATTCCATTCTTGCGTATGGTAACATGTTCAGGAGCTAGATGCCAATGTCGTGGTCTGCTAGTCTCGACTGGATGGCTTTAGGAGAGAGAGAGAGTTCGTGTAGTTGTATTATTCCTCCTCCGTTGAAGGAGTGCAAACTACAGTGATTTAATTAAATGGTCCATAGACACTGCACGAAAGTGTTTTTATCTTACCAGGTAAGGCCCACTAATCTATTTAGCTCTTTTTCTGAAGCGATCTAGTCACAAATAATAGCTCAACGAAGCGGCCTACGATATGGAAAATGTATCGCAAAGAAATACACGAATCTTATGTTTCTACACGTGGAGGGGGAAATTGGGAGGACCCGGAGAAAAATCCACGGGACCATGGGAAGAGAGGACACGCAAACTCCAAATATACAGCAGGCGTCAGGGTCAGGATTGAATGCACGACCCCCTGTATACCAGGCGAGGTAGTTAACATCTCACCATCGCGGCGCCCTCTCGCCAACATAGTCACTAACCCTCCATTTGCCGACACGATTATCACGCTTACAAAGATGTTATTATGATTATTATCTTACGTCATCAGTGTATATTGCTCACGTTCATTACCTGATGCATCTCCGAGCAGTTTCAGCGAAACATCATCATGCGCTAATGTTTAATTAAAAGTCTTACACTACCACCATTGGAGCTTGAGCTTTATCGGTCAGAAGATTGTCAATACATTGGCCGCGTATAAAGTATAACATCTGTGTAAACGAGACAATCCCGTGTAGCGCCACGGTGGCGAGGTTTTAACTACCTCGCCTGGTATACAGGGGGTCGTGGATTCAATCCTGACCCTGACGCCTGCTGTATATTTTGAGTTTGCATGTTCTCCCTCTCCCCGTGGTCACGTGGATTTTTCTCCGGGTCCTACGGTTTTCCCCACCACATTTAGATTCATCCGTTTAGATTATTTGGCTGCTGTAAATTTCCATATGATAAGCTACTTCGTGGAGATATCAGTTGTGACCAGGCGCTTCTGAAAAAGAACACCATAGCTCAGTGGGCCTTACCTGGTAAAATAAATAAAAAAAGTAGTTTAAGGTGGTGGAGGGGTCAATTCCGATTAGCACGGTTGGCTACGTACGGTGCGAAAGAAGTTCAACATACACACGTGATACATTAATTATGGATTCACGTGACTCCTGTAGCCACTGCAGGCGCTGCATTCACCAGTGTTACGAATATTTCTGTGGTGATGTTGCTGTTGCCACTGCATTAGCAGTGGTGCAAAAGCACAAATAACAAAACAAAAAAATCAACAAATTTGTCAATCATAACACCGTGGCCTTAAATGGAAAAATACATTATATAATAGGCGACGTTTCGAGCAATGGCCCTTATTAATATCCTATGAAACAGTATAGTTGCGCAAAACACAACGACATATATTCATATATGGTATCCCTCAGGGCTGGCTCAGGTGAATTAATTTTTAAAAAACACATTTAGTTCATGTTGTTTATTTTTTACAGACAAGGGACAACCGGGCCGGTACGTAAACCTCACTACACACAACAAAATAGCTTAATCACGCATCACTCAGACTGGGAATTAAGCCCAGGACCTCTGAAATGTCTGCCGATGTGTGTATGTGTAGTGATGGTGTAGTGGTTAGCTAACCAATAACAGTGGCGCATATTTTGACCGGTTCTGAGTCTCCACTAGGTCGACTCAGCCTGAAATAAGTACCTTGGTGGGGTGTGTCATCATCAACTTTGGGGATACAAAGGTGGTAGGGTTGGACATCCACCTCGTCGCGTGCTGTGCCAGCCTTCATAGGTACTCGCTAACAGCACTTGCCCCAACACTGTTAAGGCTATGCGGGGGATCATTGTCTTTGCATGTACATGCGTACGTAAGTGTTTGTGTATTACAATGAGTCAACTCTTGAATCAATGTGGAGAATACGGTAACGATAATAGGTTATGGTACGCGTCGCTCGTCGTTACGACTTCAGTCGTAATCGTCCTCAGTCTTAGTTTAGGTTTAATAGCGTTAGCTGTATCCTTAGTTTTTTCGGTAAAGTCACGTTGAAGAGAAACAACAAAATAATAAAATATATATAAACCAATAAAAAATTCTCACGACGTTTCGACCATAACTCAAACGGTCGTCTTCATCTGAAGACGACCGAATATTTTACGTATATTTATTATTTTGTTGTTTCTCTTCAACGTGACTTTACCGAAAAAACTAAGGATATGAATTACTGCAGTCACGAAAGCTTTAAATCAAATTTTTAGCGTTAGCTGTGTTCAGCGGGCGGGGTCACGTGACTCAATGTTTACATTTGGTTGCCAAGACGACGCGGGGGAGGGGGCATACGGGGCAGGGGGGAATGGGGGGGATGGGCGGAGGTGGGCGAGGAGCGGAATAGGGGGGTGGGCGATGGGGGGGAGTGGGGGGGGGGGGAGTGGGGGGGGCGGAGGTGAGGGGGAATGGGGGGTGGGCAGGGGGGGGAATGGGGGGTGGGCAGGGGGGGGGAATGGGGGGGTGGGCAGGGGGGGGAATGGGGGGTGGGCAGGGGGGGGGAATGGGGGGTGGGCAGGGGGGGGGGTCTGTCCCGCGGTGACGTAACTCGCGGCCATGTGACCCGTGGCGCCTCACTCCATGTTACTCGCAGCCCGGGCAAGGCGAGGAGACGCGATCCGAGCGCAGACGCACGGCGGCGGCGGCGTCGGCAGCGTCGGGGTCGGGGTCCACCATCCATCCCATCCCACCGCTCCGCGAAGGCGTGCAAGCCGCTCCGTTAACCGACTCACCCCCTACCACGACCACCCGCACCCGCCTCGGGTCTGGCTCGGCCTGCCGGCATCGGTGAGGGTTCTCCCGGTAGGGCGGCTAGGCAAGCGTCGGGGGTTCGCGCGCGGCCAGGCCGAGGTGATTTGCATTCGCAAGTAAACAAAGGCGCGAGGAGTGACGCGGAGTGGTGGCCAGGGGCCGGGAGGGGCCGGGAGGGGCGCGCCCAACGATGGCCTGAGACGTCCACGGAGGAGACGGAGTGAAGAGATCAGCTCGTGGGAGGGCATGCAGGGTGAGACGCGTGCGGGGTTGATGCCCGTAAACAACAACAACAAACCCCAACAGACTGAGTTGGGGTGGGGGGGATAAGCCGGCACGGCGGCCAGCTCCACGCCCGGTCGCCTTTGACGTTTACGCAGCGCACCATTCACATGTTCGCCGCTGTTGCTGGCCGCGAGCGTGGTCGCCGGTGTTGGTGGTAGCGCAGTGCGCTCGCCACGTGAACAAGCGGCGAGTGGGGACGGCGGGCGGGTCGCTTGACTGAGAAACGAACGCGAACGTGTGGGACATTCGCTGCCTTTTGTGTTTCGTGCTAAATCGGAATAACACATGAACACGCCGATACACGTCCAGCCACACAAGTACACTGAGTTCCATGTCGACCCCGACCTCAGGTTTGGCCTCCACCGTCGCCGACGCCGCGATGTCGAGTTCGGAGAGCGACAGCGACTCGAGCGGGTGGACTCTGCTGAGCCGCGAGGTGAGGGACCCTCGTTAGTTCATAGTTAGTTCATTTATTTGGTATAGCCCTGTGAGCCATTCGGCTCTTGAATCGGGTGCAACCGCAACAAACAAAAACATGAACAAGAAAACATCTTAAAGTGATTATGTGACTGTGCAAACAGAAAATCCAGGAAAAAAACATCAAAATATTCCTGAAATAGCACCGTACGCCAACGCTGTGTGCAAAAATCCCAGTGGGATGCAAGTCAAATAACAACAACCACAAGACAACTAAGATTAAGGACATCAGTCTAACTCCGTACTACAATAAACAAAAACATGGCCAAAACAAAAAAATCGTTTTCGAAATCACCAAAATAAAAGCCATAAATGCAATGTAACAGTGATCATAGGGACTGTGACCGAATTTTTAACAATAAACTACATTAATAAATTATAACACCAAAATCTAGAAGCATATTTTAGGCCACTGAATAGCAGTGGCGGCTAGGGGTGTACAACTCCTCTAGAGCAGTTTTGAGTGAAGATCTCATAGGTAGTGATTCAAGTTGCAGTTTATTGGCAATAGCATTCCAGACCCTGGGGGCATCAATAGCAAAGGCCCTTCCTCCGGTTTTTGTACGGCAATAGGGAATGTGAAGCTGGTAAATGAGCGAAGACCTGAGGTCAAATTTGTTCTTTGAAACAGAGAGGAGATCCAGTAAGTAGTCTGCGGATTTTTTTGTAAGTACATCGTGAATAAATAAGATCTGGTGCACAAGCCGTCGAACATTAAGAGATGTTAAGTTTGACCCGCGTGTTGTGGACGCGTGTGAGGAGTGAGTGGACCGGAGGGGTTTTGGGCACCCGTGGTGTAAGGGGTGAGGGGATGCGTGTGGTGAGCGGGGAGTGGCGAGGTGACCCGCGGGGAGACGTAGGGAACTGGGCCCCCGTCTCCCCCCCAATACTCCCCCACGGACCCCGCTTGCGCGTTGGCTCGGTCCCCTTACGCAGCGGCCGCGATTTCCACAGCAAACAGCGCGGGTTTCATTTACGTCCGGTTGGGGGGGGATGCGGCGAGAGGCAGAGGCGCTTACCCGAGGCCTCCCGTGTGCCTCTCGGCCTCCCGTGCGGCCTCCCGTGCGACCTCCCGTGAGGCCTCCCGGCCTCCCGTGCGGCCTCCCGTGTGTCCGCGGCATGCAGGGCCTGGACGAGGAGCGCGTGGGTGCGGAGCGGAGCCACCGGTTCTGCCACTGCGACGATCCCCAGGGAGATGTCGCTGAGACGGCGCCGTGCGGTGCCGAGCTGGGGGGTACGGCAGTGACACAGCGCGCACCTGTCTGGCGGGGTCAGGGCCTCGCGTTGTGATGGGTCGAGATCAGGGGTTCGCGTTTAGTGTGAGGAGTTAGAGTTAAGGTTTTCAGTTAGGATTATGGGTTAGGTTTAGGGGTTTGAATGAAGAGTTGGGATTAAACTATTTATGTAGCTCTTTCAGAAGCGACCTGGCAATAAATGATAGCTCAACAAAGTGGCTTATCGTGTGGTCATTTCTAACAGCCTAATACTCTAAACGCGCGTTGTTTCTAAACGCGGAGGGAAAACCCGGAGGACCCTGAGAAAAATCCACGCGACCATGGGGAGAATATGCAAACTCCAAATATGTTTAGTGTTCTTCACGGAGGCACACACTTTACTTGGAGGCAACACGTTTATTACACAGCCTCAACAGGGCCAACTACACAACGTACACACGGCTAACTCGACCCCAACAGGGCAACTACGTAACCGGGTCAGTCAGTAACACCCTGACTGACCCACGATGCTGAGCGGAGACCGAAGATCGGAGAGACGTAGCGCCGATAGTTGATTCCAGAGAACAGCCACGAACGCTCCCGGGCCTGCCCCTTGATGCTCCTGAGCGTGGCCTCGCTCCGCCCTCGGCCACGCCCGACCGAGCATTCCGTGTCTCTCAAGCTCCCTTCGCTACCTTGTCCCAGTCACGTGCCCTCTCGGGTTCACCCAGACTACCCCGTCCTCACTTGCCCTCTCTCAGGCCGTCACCAGGACTATGCCCCTTAGGGCCCACTCGCTTGCCATACTCACCCTGGCCCCCGAGAGAGGTTCCAGATGCACAGTGGCTGGCGCTAACACCATAGTGGCACCATTAACGTCACTACACATGCAGGCATCAGATTCCGGGATCGAACCCACGACCTCCTGTATACCAAACAAGGTAGTAAACATCTCACCACGGTGGCTAGGATTGCGGTTGTGTTGGTTCACGTTCGCCTGCGCCACCGCTGCTGCGGTCGTCCTCCACACTCGGAGTGATCGAGGAGTTTTTGTCTCGCAGGGTTCCTGGAAGGGAAACTCTGGGAGGCGTTGGACGCCGGGGGTGAGGGCCCTGAGGGGGTGGGGGAGGGCCGAGTCCCCGACGAGGCCACGTGCACGGTGAGTAACAGCAGTGGCAATCACCACAGTAACCACAGCAGTAGCAGCAGCAGCATTAGTAATAACAGCTGAATCATGGGTAGTATTTATTCGAAACTTACGTTGAACAGTAGCATTTATTTAAGCAGAGAGTGATATGTTAGAACAAAGTGCTGTGTTGCCAGATGTTATCGCTTAAGCTTGTGGCTCACCCTTCAAGCACAAAAGCAGCGCATCCTATCTTACAGTCACATACCTAAGCTGTTCGTCCTGAACTCTCCCTAAGACAATTCGGAGCTCACATTAAATGTGTTTGAAATGGCTCCGAGTTATTTGCCTTGTTTATCTTAAATGTAAACATTTTGGACATTAGCGTTGCATATATCACATTCACGTCACGGTGAGGAGCGCTAACTGAGTGAACGAAAACAGGTGGAGCAACCCGCCAAACCTGAAGAGGTGAAGGAGGAGGTGAACGAGATAACGGAGGAGGTGGGCAAGACAAATGAACCAATGGACAAGGTGTTTAAGAGGGTGGAAGAAGATGGAGCCAACGTGAGCAAAGAGGTGAAAATGAGTGAGGAGGTGAGAGACGAGGTCAGCCAGGCGATAGATGAGGCGAGGGATGAAGTCAGTGGCAATATGAGGGTGGAGGTGAGTGATGAGATGGAGGAAGTGAGTGGGGAGGTGAGACAGGGGTTGAGCGAGAAGGCGAGTGAGATGGTGAGAGAGGCAGCGAGTGAGGAGGTGGGCGAGGAGTTCAGCGAGGAGGAGAGAGGTGAGGTGAGTGAGGGGGTGGGAGGGGAGGTGAGCGAGGCGGTGATGGAGGAGGTGGACGTGGAGGTGAGAAGGGAGGTGAGCATGGAGGTAATGAAGGAGGTGTGTGGGGAAGTGAACCAGAAGGTGAGACGGGAGGTGAGCAGAAGCGACAACAATGACCTCTTCGCGCTGGATCCCTCTGCGCTCGACGAGGTTCCGGGTCCTCGCGCTTCCCCTGAGCCACCCGTGGAGGTGCCCGACTCCGCAGTTCCGTCACCCTCTGCAGGCCTGCAGGACCCCCCTCCTCCCCGCTCCTCCCACCCCAAGGCATCCGCGGAGCCTGGCACGCGGGCGGGCAGCGAGGATGCCCTCGTGGGGTCCTCAAGAATCCGTGACTGCTTCCCGTTCCCCCTGGGGCGCGAGCGAGGTGGGTTTAGTTCGGCGATCTGCAGCGTTTGAGACACTCACGTGGGAGCCAATACCCAGAAAAGACGAGTGACCAACACAGACGAGCTCACGGAACGTGCGTCCAAATCGCACGTGCAAACACTCGTGTTGTAGGCTCGCGTTTGTTGTACGTAATGGATCAATGTCACCACTACGGCCACGAGAGGTGTCGCCATTCACGATCCAGAGATGCGGAAATTCGCAAAATCGTTCCACCTGCGCTATCCGCTCTGCTGTTTCGATGAGGGCAGTGATCCTGCCATCGTAACAAGGATAACGAGGGTTCATGGAGCCGAGCGATGATGGTTCCGCTTGCGTCTCCTGCAGCCCCGTTGGGTGCCGGCTCCAGCACTGACGAGGAAGACCAGGAGAAGCTCGGTCAAAGTGATGGTGACGAGATCAGGAGCGGGCCGACGGCGCCCAGGCTGCGCCGACGCCTCGCCCGCCGGCAACTCCCCACCGCGCTGGCCGACGGCACCGCACCTGGCACCGGGGGCACCGTGCCCGGCACGGACGCGTCGTTGACGGTGCTGGTGCCCACCCTGGCGCTCATCGGGGTGCTGGGCCTGGTGGTCGCGAGCAACCACGGTGAGCGGCACAAACCCCCACCACCCAGCCCCCCACCACCCAGCCCCCCACCACCCAGCCCCCAACCACCCAGCCCCCAACCACCCAGCCCCCAACCACCCAGCCCCCAACCACCCAGCCCCCAACCACCCAGCCCCCAACCACCCAGCCCCCCACCACCCAGCCCCAACCACCCAGCCCCCAACCACCCAGCCCCCAACCACCCAGCCCCCAACCACCCAGCCCCCAACCACCCAGCCCCTAACCACCCAGCCCCCAACCACCCAGCCCCAACCACCCAGCCCCCCACCACCCAGCCCCTAACCACACACTCCCCGGTCATCCACACCATCCAACCCCAGGTCCACTCGGCCTAATATGCGTGTCTGCGGCTTTGAGTCAGATGTAGTAACCAGAGCTCGCTAACAGAGCAGGGTGCCCTGTGGTGTCTGAGTATTTTATTTGCAGTTTGCTTATTGTCATTTTTTTGTAGTCATTGGTGACCAGACTGAGACCATCATCTCTCTGCACTTAAGAAGCCAATTTAGTCACAACTCTAGTCTAAGTCTATAGGTATCTGAGTCTGTGACTTTACGTGAGTCTATGGATCTCAATATGAGACCATGGGCGACTGGGCTGAGACCATCATTTCGCTACATTTGAGAACCCGGTATAGTCACGGGTGGCTAAACTGGATTTGAACCCAGGATTTCAGTGGTGCCGGCTCGGTGCCCCGACACGGCCATTGTGAGCCCCCTGAATGTGTGGCCGTGCGTGCGTGAGCAGTGGCAAGCGGGAGGCAGGGGACGCTGATGCAGGAGAACGAGCAGCTCGGGGCAACCGAGCGCCAGCTGCAGGTGATGGTGAACTCACACGCGCACACACATGTACATACGTTTACCAACATATATACACACATGAACACTCACATAGGTGTATGTAGGTTTAACTTTTTTCGCACCGTACGTAGCCAACCGTGCTAATTGGAGGTGGTGCAGGTCTACACATACGCATACACACATACACATGTTTATTCATACAAAGATCCCCAGTTGACCTTTTAACAGACTGTTGTGGCAGGTGCTGTTAGTGAGCACCTATGAGGGCTGACAGGGCACATGAAGGGTTCTGTGGGCAGTACCAAGCCCACAGCAACAACAACAACCGCCATTCGCCACAAAGTGGCGGTGACGTCACCACGACGCTTGTGCCAGGCCATGTGCACCTTGAGGCCACGTGAAGTGTCGAACGCCCGCTGGCAGGAGGTCACGGGGCAGACCCAAGTGCCACGGGTCGACTGACTAAGATGACTGGCTGATGCACCACCTGTGCCCCCTACTGTGCCAACCTGCTGTGCTTTAGCCACCCGGCACTCCGCTCGTTGTTGTGAGCGTCGCTCCTCCGCCCTTCGTTGTTGTTGGAGGGCGACTGCCTCCAACCGCCCAGTAGCGTCCTTCACGAGCCTCCTCCACAGAGGCCGATCTTGACTCCGCTGGTACCAGTCATCGGCAAGTCCACTCAGCTCCACGTCCTCCTGTACCACATCACTCCATCTCTTCTCTAGCCCGTGCCGCGCCTGTTTAGCCCCTCGATCCGGCCGAACAAAAGCTGTTTCGGCATGCGGTGGCTGGGCATGCGGGCTACATGACCCAGCCAACGCAGCCTTGCTTGCCGGAAGAGCTCACCGATGGGACCTTGCCCAGATCTTTCAAAGATTTGTGAGCTCCTCACACAATCCAGCCTGGTTAAACCCAGAATGGATCGTAGGCAGGCTAGCCTAAATGTTTCTAACCGGCGAAGATGTTACATTAGGGGGGTCCACGTTTCGCAAGCGTAGCGAAGGGAGGGAATGGCCGTGGCCGAGAAGACCTGAAGCTTAGTGCGGAGCGAGAGACCAGGTAGCTTCCACACAGCGTTACGCAACCGATGATAAGATATTGCCGCTCGACTGATTCGGAGTGAGACCTCTGCTGTTAAACTGGAGCTGGTCATAAGCACACTGCCCAGGTATGGGAAACTCTCCACTCTCTCCACACCTGCCCCATCACCGATTGGGAGTTGTGGGGGTGGAGTGTCCGATGGTACAAAATACCCAGGCAGGTGCTTAGTTTTGGTGGGGCTGATGGTAAGGCCCCATCTCTTAGTGGCACGCTCCAGTCTCAGCAGCAGCGTCTCCAACTCCTCCTCTGAATGAGCAGCTATTACCAAATCATCGGCAGACATAACATGGTTGAGCAATAGGGAGCCATCCCTTGACCGCACCCGGGCATCGATCAGCCTCCCATTATATCTGTACCAAATGGAGATTCCCCCGGTACAGCTATTGAAGGCTTCACGAACTACGTGGTCAAAATAGATGTTAAATAATGTGGGAGCCAGAGGACATCCCTGTCGCACCCCAAGGTGTACACGGAATGGCTCTGATTCCCGGCCACGTAGTTTTACCCGAGCCCGCTCGCCATCATGAAGGTCTTTAATGATCGTGAGCAGAGGGTCAGGGACTCCAAAAGCACGAAGAACAACCCAGAGCCCAGGCCTACTGATGGTATCATAGGCCTTGACCAGGTCAATAAAGCAGAGATGTAGGTCTTGTTGGAATTTCCTACACCTCTGCTGTAGCAGACGGACAGAAAATATGGCATCTGTGCAGGACCGCCCTTTCCTGAAACCGCATTGGGGCTCCGCAAGCCTCTCCTCAGCGTGCCTGGCAAGGCAATGTTGAATAATCCTTGCCAGGACCTTTCCCGGCACACTGAGGAGTGAGATTCCCCTGTAGTTGTTACAGTCTGTGCGGTCCCCCTTCTTAAAGAGGGGGACTACCAGGGCATCCTTCCAATCCTGCGGAACCCGTCCAGCGGTCCAGACTGTTGTTATGATGTCATATAGGGCAGTCTGTGCACAAACGCCACCCTCCCTCAGCATTTTGCTTGGGAGATCATCTCTACCCGGTGCCTTTCCTGGTCTCAGACTCCGGATTGCCTTCAGTATTTCCTCAACAGATGGCACCTCAGCCAGCCACTCACAGGGGGTGACTTCTTACAATATTTGAGGCACCGCAGCCTCAGCAGAGTCATCCCACTTTGTGCCACGATGTTTTCCTGGCTGAGGGATTTCCCCTCCCCCAGGACCTCACAGAAATGCTCAGCAAATCTGCAAACCTGTTCCTGGGGGTCGGAGATTGGATCAACGTATATACACATTAATACTCGCATATGTGCACACGTAGACATGTACACACACATACACACGTGTTTACATATGGTCTCCCACACACGGACACGCACACACTCACATTGTCACACAAGTGAGTACACTCACACCTCTTTCTGGTGGACCTGGCCCCGCCACATGCCGGAATCCGCGATGTGCGTGTGTGTGTGTACGTGTCTTTGTTCGTGCACGTGGGGAGCAGTCGTGCAGCGGTAACCCAAGTTCGATTTCCACTCGCGGCCATCACCTGTGACGATTATCTGAACTGGTCCTGGGCCACCATAGGTCGACTCAACCTCAAATTATTACCTGGTGCGATGTGCAAATATCGCCACTTGGGAGAGGAAGGCGGCCTGGCGTAGTGCTGGCCACCCACCTCCTCGCTTGCTGTGCCTGTCTTCACAGGTGCTCGCTGACAACATTTTCCTCAACAGTCTGTTCAGGCTACATGGGGGATTTTTGTACGTATGTTCCCGTCTGCAGGCCGAGGGGACCGCCATGGCCAGGCGTTGGGAGGCCGAGCGCGGAGCCCTGTCCCAGGAGAATGTCGAGCTGCGGTCGGCGCTGTCCCAGCTACGCCAAGAGGCCAGGGGATCCACTGTGGCGGTGAAGCAGGAGGCCCCCGGGGCCACCACCGCACGAGGGCAGGAGGCCGCACGGGCGGCGGCGCGGGAGCTGGCGGCCGAGGGCCGCCGGCTGCAGGCCGAGGTTCGCCGACTCCACCGGGAGCTGCGGGAGGAGCGTGCGGCCTCCGCGACCACCCGTGGAGAGCGCGACGCGGCGGCCGTGGCGCTGGAGGCCGAGCGGCAGCGCTCGCACCTGTGGGAGCGGCTCTACGTGGAGGCGCGCGACGCGGCCGCCGAGCACGGGAAAAGGAAGAAGGAGGAGGAGGTGCGAGGGCCAGACCCCCGCCACCGGCCCTACGAGGACACCAAGAACTCGACGAGGAAGCGCGGAGAGCGTGGGGCCGGGCAGGCGGAGTCCGACGCAAGCCGGGGCCGCGGCTGGGGAGGCCACGCGACCTCGGGGGCCGGGAGCGAGGCGAGCGCCGAGGCGCGGCAAGGGGACGGCCGGCGGGGGCAGGGGCAAGGTCAGGGGCAGGGCAGCAGGCGGAGAGGGGAAGAGCAGCTGAAGATGAAGGGGAGGGACTGGCGGGGCCCCGAGGAGTACGGGGCCCAGAGGGCGCATCCCACACGGGGACAGGGCCACAACACGAAGCACAACGAGCAGCACAACCGGTGTCACGAGCAGCACAAGCAGCAGAGCTACAGGGCGTGGCACGGGAGGTCACGGCGCCACTGCGACCTGCACGTGGCCGAAGTGGAGATAGAGCTCGGGCCTCTGCCCTTTGGCCCTAAGTGTTGACCTTGCATCTCTGCCAATTGGCACAGACCTCCCCATGCCTTCCCATACCTCTCCCCCCGTCCACCCAGGTCTCTCTACATCCCACATTGCTTCACGCAGCCCTTCACTGCTTCCCTGCGCTTCCCCGCGCTTCCCCCAAGTCTCGTGCAGTTTTCTCACGACTCTCTTCCAGCATTTGCCTGCTTCCCTCAGATGTAGTGTCTGCATTTGCCACGCACAGTCTCACCCAGTCTCACGTGTTTCCCTGCCACCCCCCCAACCCCCCAACCCCCCAACCCCACACGTTCCCCGTGCCTCCTGCATCCCTCTCTCCCCTTGTCCTGCCCTTTTATTCACTCCCCCGCCCTCCTATTGTGGCCCCATGCCTGCCGTATCCTCGCCCTGCTTTCCCCATGCTTTCCCTCTGATCTATCCCTCTGCCTTAGATTCCCCCACCCCAATGCCTCCCTGAAAACGTAGATGTTATGTTATCTTGTTTGGAGCGTTGTTGTTGGAATTGCTGTTTGGGTGTTTGGTTCGTGTGAATGAGTATCTGCACCCACTGGGATTCTACCCCTCACCCACCCAGCCCACCACCCCACCCACCCCATATGAATTGGACAATCGTTTCATGTTGTGGTTTAAAGTATATGTCACGGACGACGTGCTCGAAGTGCCATCAACGCTACCTGCGGAAGATCCTTCGAATCCAGTCAGAATACAGAGGCACCGACATGAGTGCGTCCTCTCCCACACAAACACCACGAGCATCGAGTACTAAACTAAACTATTTGTATTTCACCAGGTAAGGCCCACTGAACTCTGTAGCTCTTTCTCAGAAGCGACCTGACCACAATTGATAGGGCAACGAAAGTGGCTTATCACGTGTAAATTTATAGCATCCCAATTCTCTCAAACGCGTGTTTATAAACGTGGAGGGAAAAACCGCAGCACCCGGACAAATATCCACACGACCACGGGGAGAACATGCACACTCCACATAGACAGGTGGCAGGGTTGGGATCAAACCCACGACCTCCTGCATGCTTGGGGAGGGAGTTAACAGCTCGCCACCTGGGCGTCCCACATCAACTTTGTTTCGTCGCCGGCGTTCCCCGCGCGCATTCGAAATATCTCCTGCACGGTATCTGTGCTGCAGCCTCTGCCGCCCTCTAAAAGGATCAGTGTTTTGTTTAACCAGGTGAGACCTCGGGGAGACCAAGGTAAGTCGCAATTGCAAGACCGACCCACGTGTTGAGAACTGCTGGTTCGCTTTCTCCAACTCGCTCTCACAATCTGCACGTAACTAGTGCCGATGCAACTACAAGCAAACTTGTTTTGTAACTTTAACGAATGCGAAATTAAAAGTTGAACAATTTGAATTTCACGAACGTAAAATGCAAATTATTTTTGACTGCAAAAGGTGCAATTGTGCTCAATGGATAAGTCCTTCCCGTGATGGCGTGTGGCTCTCCACTAGTCAGATATTGCGAGACTCATTCACTTCCTCCCATTGTGTTCCGGTTTTTTAATTTTGCGGAGATAGCAACCCTGGCAGGCTATCTCTTTGATCAGTGTGGCCATGTTTTATCTCTGGTAATTAGTCCCGAATAGCAGTGCAACCTTATACCAACGTGTCATTTATATTGGACCGTATAGTAAGCCACTAGTCTGCGATCCTTCAACGAAGGAGGAACAGCAAAACGACAGGAACTCTCTCCTGAAGCCCACTCGTTGTGGCCAGAACACCTCATTGGCATTCAGCTCCTGAACACGCTGCCATACGCAAGGATAGAATGCGAGTCTCTCGGTCTTTATCCGAGTATTTGAGTTGCTATGTAAGTATTTGGATCTCCATGTTAGTTTTCGGTCCCATGCTAGTCTGTAAGGTCTCTATTTGAGTCTGTGGGTTGCTATGTGAGTCTGTAGGTATCTTTAAGTCAATGGGTCTATAATGTGAGTCTATGGATCACTGTATAAGTCTTGTGTCGTGGTTGTGGGGAGCGGGGGTGTTGTGGTTAGCTCGACGCAGCGTTGCGAACCCATCTACCCGAGTTAACTCGTAGCCAACACCAGTGACGATTATCTGAATCGGTCCCGAGCCCTCGGCCGACTGGGCCTCAAGTGAGTACTGAGTGCGATGTGTCAACAGCGCAACTGGGTAGACAAAGGCGGCCAGGCGTGGTGCTGGCGACCCACCATCTTCGCTAACTACGCTTGCCCCAAAAGTCTGTTCAGGATATACGGGGGATCTTTGTATAAGTCTACGGTTCTTATGTTCGTCTGAGTCATATATAGGGTGGACAAAAAAATCAGCACACACGGTTATATTTATTTTAACAAATGACATGGGTTTAGATTTTTCGTTTAAAATGTAAATGTCATCAGAAAAAGAACAGAATGGATATTACTAATGAGAATAGGTATAATATTAACTTAAAGAATAAACAATTTAAATGTTTTAATGCCACTGTTTAAATAAATCAAATAACCCTGTGTCCTGGACCTTTGGGCCACCCTGTGTACACATTAAAAAAGTCATGGGGGGGGGGGTGGGAATCGCACCCCCCCCCTACCGTCCCCCCTCTGGATCTGTCATTTGTGAGAAGGCAGAGAGGTGGGGGGGGGGGGCAGCAGGTGTGGTGGGGGGTGGGGGTTGGAGGGGGGGGGTCACTATCCCCCCTTCCTACAACCTCCCCGCCCCCCACCCAGTCCCTGGTCTTTACGGATTTTGTTCAAACAGCGGCGGCTTCCGCTATCAGCCCCTCGCACCTGTGCCGGCTCCACCGCTGAGTGTGCAGCAGACACGGACAGACGAGCGAGGTGGCGCGGCTGCCGGGCAACCGCTCCGTGCTAATGATGCCGTGGGGGAGGGAGGTGGCGGTGTGGTGGGGGGAGTGGTGGTGTGGTGGGGGGAGTGGTGATGTGGGGAGCGGTGGTGCGGTGGTTAGCGCACTTTCGCACGTAACGAACCCGAAAGCGATCCGAATTAGATTTCCCGCTTACGGATAATATCGATGTTGACCTTGTCCCTAGGTCGAGTCAGCCCTAAGTGAGTACCTGGTGCGGCGTGTTAAACAACACCAGCACTGGGGAGACTAATATCTTCATAGGTGCTGTTGCTCGCTAACAGCACTTGCCCCAATAGCCTGTGTGGGCTACACTGGGGGAACTTTGTCTGTGCCTGTTGCTGCTGTCTGTAGAGGAACGAGGGGGGAGGATGGTGGAGTGAGTCACGGCGATGTGAGGGCTGCACTCGAGAGAGAGAGAGAGTTCTTGTCAAGGACTAACTCTGGCCTCGGAGTGGAATCAATAAGGGTTCTGACTCAGATGAGCAACGTGGCCCGAAAACATAACGAGGCAGTCGGAAAAGTCGGCTCGTTAAACGATAACCCGTTTAGACCAGTTTACCCTTTTCCGACTGACTCGCCAACCCTCACTCACCGGCCTGATCATTCTATGGCTCAAGCAACCCCGATGTGTGGGGATGGAGGCCTTAATCCAACAGTGGATAGACAAGGCGCGCGATAAGTCGAACCATTGAATGTCCCCAGGGCTAATACGTCTGGCCGTGTCTTTGTTATATTGCCCATAATCAGGCCTTGATTTCTCGCTCGATATTGTTCACATGACCATGCCGCTATTGCCGTCAAGTGCCTTCACACCCCGAGTCCTGTTCGCTATTTGCGTCTCTCTGTGCTCAATGGTAGCGATGTGGTTGGCCGTTGCTAGGAGACGGGACGTGCATCAATCAGGGCGGAGTGTGCACGGCATCTCCAAACCCAACCCCTCCCCTCACTCCCCTGCCCCCCCCTATTCAATCATTCCCTCCATACCCATTGCCGCTCTACCTCCATCAATCCCTCCGTCAAATTCTCTCCCCTCCATAGATCGCTCGATTTCTCCCTCCTCAATCCCTCCATCCTCAAACCCCGTTTTCTCTCCATCCCTCCCTCCCTCCATCCTTTACTCTCCATCCCTCCCTCCCTCCATCCTTTACTCTCTCTCCATCCCTCATTCCCTCCATCCTTTACTCTCTCTCCATCCCTCATTCCCTCCATCCTTTACTCTCTCTCCATCCCTCCCTCCCTCCATCCTTTACTCTCTCTCCATCCCTCCCTCCCTCCATCCTTTACTCTCTCTCCATCCCTCCCTCCCTCCTCCTTCCTACATCCCACATCCCCACTGCAGTGTCGCCTCCACGTGTACATGCACAGCCCTTTGTCTCAATCCACTGCTGGATGAGGACCTCCCCACACCGTGCGGGTCGTGGGGGTTGTTTGACCATACTTCACCACTACTGGTCGGTGCGGGTTGGTGGTGGGAGTAAGACCTTTTCCTCCCCCTGTTGCTGCTCACCCGGTCTGACCCCCCGCCCCTCAAGGAGTTAAGTCACCAGCCGTCACTGGCTATGATTTGTGTGTATGCAATATTTTCTATTTCCCATGTGATGCAATTGCTTTTGCACTGATTTATATTTGCTTCATTGCTGCACTCGCCGATACACAAAGATAAGCGCGTGGACATCCACCACAATCGACAATAGCGCCCGTCGTTCACCATTCAGTGGCGGTGAGGTCACCACGGCGTCTTGTGCCAGGCTAGGTGCATCCTGAGGCTATCACGTGAAGTGCAGAAGGCTCGTTGCTGGCAGGAGAAGGACACGGGACAGACCCAGCAGGTGCCATGGGTTAACTGGGTGAGATGACTGCCAGATGCCCCACCTGTGCTCCCCACTGTGTCAACTTGCTGCGTTGTGTCCGCTTGTGAGCATAGTTCTGTTGTTGTTGGAGGGCGACTGCCTCCGACTGCCCAGTAGCGGCGTCCTTCACGAGCCTCCTCCACAGAGGCCGATCTTGACACCGCTGGTACCAGTCATCGGCAAGTCCACTCAGCTTCACGTCCTCCTGTACCACATCACTCCATCTCTTCTCTAGCCCCTGTTGCCATACATGGCGCCAAAAGACAAAGGTCGCCCATATAGCCTTGAACAGACTGTCAGGGCAAGTGCTGTTTAGGAGCACCAATTAAGGTGGGAATCTAACTCGGGATTTCCAGGTTCATAGCGCAGTGCGCAAACCACTGCCGCCGCTTCCCGCAAGGACAAAAAAGCACACAGACTCATGTCATCATCATCATCCTATATTGACTATGACACGTCCTTGCACACCAATCGCCATCCTCTCCTGCCCCCTGCCTCCCTCTCCTTGACTCAACTGATTGTTAATTTCCACTCTCCTCCCCGCCACCCCCTCCCTCCTTTACTCCCTGCCCCCACTCCCAGTTTAACCCCCCGCGCCCCCCCCCCCCCACTCAATACTCCACCAACCTCCCATCACTTTTCCATTTGCTCTGTTGCCATAGCGACGACTCTGACGTCATGTGACGTTAACTCGCTCCGAGCTGCGGTCCCCCCCCCCTCATCTCATTCCCTCCCCACTCAAGTTTCTCACCCCTCCCTTCACCCCTCCCTTCACCCCTCCTTCACCCCTCCCTTCACCCCTCCCTTCACCCCTCCCTTCACCCCTCCCTTCACCCCTCCCTTCACCCCTCCCTTCACCCCTCCCTTCACCCCCCCTTCACCCCCCCCCTCCACCCCCCCTTCACCCCCCTCACCACCCCCCTCACCCCCCCCCCTCACCCCCCCCCCTCACCCCCCCCTTCACCCCCCCTTCACCCCCAGCAGCTCTCCCCCTCACTGCACCCAAACCCCATTCAAGTTCCTCCACCCACCCCACCACCGCTACTGCTCCCCCCCCTCCCCATCCTTTCCACCCCCACAATTGGTGAACTTTACTGCAAATATGACGATAGTATTAATGACGAATGATAATTTACATAGCAGATGTTATCATTATGATAATACTTCATCATTCTGCTTAGCTGAGATGTGAACTCGTGTTTGTTATTTTGGGCAGGCCGGTGTCCAACCAAACTCAGGGGCATTCCGTCCCCATTTCCACCCCGCACCTCCAATTAGCAAGGTTGTCTACGTACGGTGCTAAAGAAGTTCAACATACTGCACATTAATTCACTGATTTGAGGGTAACTATTCGGTACTGAGATGTCTGGCCAATACCCTTTGCAATGTGTGTTTTAGCTATGGGAAGGCACCCAGAGAATATCCATGCAGAACGGGGAGAACACAAACTCCACACAGAAAAGCGCCCAAACGGGATATCGAACCCATGGCGTTCCGGCTGCGAGCCACGAGTGTCGCCACTGCGCCACCACCCTTCCACGCTTCTATTGCATCAAATCATCAAGGCACGACGCGTTTTATATGCAAATGCATTTATTACGTTCGGTGGTCTTTACACGATTAAAAACAAGAGAAAATCAGCAGGCGCGTTCGGCAAACCATGACCTCAAAGCAGCAATTGTAACCGTCTGGGAAGTGTCAGCGCGAGATCACTCACTACATGACGTGTCCCCCCTACTGCGTGCAATAGCAAAACAAACTCATTTTGCATAGGTATAAACTACAGGCATTCCGAATGTACATAGAGCTCAACGTGTAAAAGAGTAACAATTCATCACAGAAACAGCAGCTGAACGGTAGAATTTCTGCATACGATGAATGATTAGCGTCTACGAAGAGCCGTATTATTAACTTCGGCTCAGCCTCAGGCTTGAGCCGCTCGTTCGTTTTGCAAAGACACATGGCTTGGCTCAGCTCATAGACTTCCTGAACATGGGCCAAGATCATGCTCAGAACCGGCCCATGGCTTTCAGCCGGCTCACTCCAGCCACAGAAGAGCCGTGGCTAAGTTTGAATCCTGGCAACGTACAGAATTAACGCAAATTTACATTCATTGTAAGACTTAGTGGGATGTATGGGGGTATCGATGAGAGATTCACGCTTGCATGAAACAGCGCCTTCTGATAAAGTGATAATGTAACCAGCAGCGTACAGCTACGTGTCCATAACAGGTTTTTTGGGTTAGATCGCGTAAATGTGTTGTTACACCCGCCACCACCAATTGGTAAGGTTTGTCACATGTTTGTATTTGTACTCGGTGCACAATAAATTCCGCTGGCTAACTCACTCGGAATGCGCCTCACCGAAAGCAAAGCAGCCGGTGGAGCCCCGAGGCCGCTTTGATGGGTGACCAGCACCACCACCACCGTTTGCAGCTGTGCTTCGTGGCCAGCAGAGGGCAATGTCGCAAAAACGCGTTGCTGTACAGAACACAAATGTGCTCCCACAACTCTGCAACTATTAAAGCTATTTTTTTATTTTACCAGGTAAGGCTCGCTGAGCGGTGTAGCTCTTTTTAAGAAGCGACCTGGTCGCAAATTATAGTTCAACGAAGTGGCTTATCGCGTGGAAATTTATAGCAGCCAAATACTCTAAACGAGTGTTGATTCTAAATGTGGAGGTAAAAACCGGAAGACCCGGAGAAAAATCCACGGGGATAGAGAGAAAATGCACTCCAAACATACAGCAGGTGTCAGGATCGAACCCACGACCTCCTGCATTCCAGGCGAGGTAGTTAACATCTCGCCACCCTGCTCCCGGCCTTCAACAATCCAGTCAAACGTGGTGAAAAGTACAGTATGGGCTTATATTTCCTAAATCCCCGCACGACATGGGGAGGCCATCAATCCAGCAAAGGACTGATCAAAGGGCTATCCATGTCCACAGTGAACGGACACGCCTACAAATCCGTGTGCCTTTGCTGCTTGGCAATTAAAACAGAAATGCTTCAGACTGGTACGTTCCTCTCACAACCAATGACTTGGCGTCACCGCATTGGGCAGTGAACTCATTCCGGCCTCGACAGCGCGAGAGAAGTCTCCGGAAGGACCTCCCTTGGGCTTTTATTTAAACTTTTTTTTTTGCCAATTCACGAGTGCTTGTACGCAATTGGGAAGAAACCGGAGCATTCAGATAAACTCCACGTGCGCGTGTGAGCAACAACTATCTCTGTACCGCTGGCGAAAGATGGTGATTCGTCCACTTTGCTATACTGCCTTCTCCTGGTAAGTCAAGGTACGGCACCTCTTGGACGCCCACGTGAGTGGAGTTTTCACGACGAGTCCCATGTACGGTAAACGCGTGATCATGCGCGCCAGGAATGCACCCAACCACGCACCTCCCGTGCGGAACGTCGCCCCGCACCCGCACCCGCCACCGGCGCATCGACCGAGTGCCGCGAGCGCCACTGCACTCAGAGCCCCCGGCTCGTGGAGCGGCAGGCGCCGAGGGCTCGGGGCAAGACGCCGGATGGGGGAGTCCAATTCCATTCCTCGCAGCGGGCCTCGTGCCAGCCACGGCGACTCCCACGACACAGCCACCAAGCAACTTTCAAAACATCGTAAAAGCAGAGGGGCGTGAGGGTTCATTAAAATGTAAACGCTTACGGTGACAGCACGGACTCGAGCGCAGTGGTACACGAGGTCTTAAGCGACCACAATCATGCTTGGTCCACCCCCCCCCCTCCTCCTAAAAAACCCCCAACAGGTATGACCAAACTGGTGTAATACGGAGTTTCACGGGTCAGAGCCGACACGGCACCAACACGCGGCGCGTCTTAAGTCGGACGTGTAGATTACGCATGGCCGTTGTGAAGTCCTGGGATAATAAATGATACTTTGGGATGCCTTACTCGAAAACTGGTGAATAAACCACCACATTCTCCGTTACATCATAAATGTGCATGCTGGCCAAAAATGTATGCGGTAAATATCAACAGTTGACATCACACTTTATTGGGAAGGGATACAATCATAAATGTTGTAGCCCCTCCCAATGCCTTCACTGTTTATTCCCTTTTATTCATGCAAGTCCCCGATATATAATGGAGGCTTCATTACAGACCAGACAAGTGACGATAAAACATGACCAGTGTGGTACAATGCCGCTCGTGTATCGTGAGCGCTACGGGAACGAGATCAATCGTCGCGACACGACCCACGCCACTTGGCACACTGTCAAATCATCCATTGCTTCTGCTTGTACCCAGACTTGTGTTTCAAACAAAAAAAACCCCACACATTGCCCACAATATTAAAGCAGGTTTTCAATACAGAACAATATATGCATACAGTATATTTTAGCGCTACGATATAAACTATGACAAGCAGACAAACCATGAGCAACCTTATCGCATTACTTAAAACAGTTGGGTAGCTAAGGTTGGTGCTATGCAACCAGGTAAATGCATTCTTTCTCCCCACATTTTTGCACTCCAACATGGGTTTGATAACGGGTTATTGGGCATCTATAGTTCTTATTTTGTAAGCACTGAGGAACACCACTTGTACAAAAAGCCCGGAACCCACATCGCCCTTACACGAGCCCCATGGCTAATACATTACCATGGCATTTACAAAGTGTTTGTGCTCACCACCGAATGAGGATTTCTCCCATCGCAGCACTCAATTCAAAACAGACACCTCTGAATATACCACCGGCCACCTAGAACTAGGCATTCACATGCAATGCAGACGTGTGCCATTATGCACCCAACAGCCATCATTCATAAATGAACCCCAAACGTCTTAAGAACTAATTTAAGCGCATCAGCTGTTAATGCCGAGTAAGGAAAGAGTGAACTATGGGGAGAAAGTGTCAGGCGAGTGTTCGTCACGGCGGTTACTATCAAGCACCGCGAGGAAGCCGTCGTGATTTCTTGGCGTCACCTCTCGAGATGGAACACTGGAATGCAAAATAATCACAGTTTCAAATTCTGGCTATAGCGGCAAAAAGAGTTGGGAGGCGTAAACGGCCAGGCAGCAGTTCTTGAGGGAGAAGCATGGGTCATGACGCTCCCTCTTCTGCACAAAAACCCTTAAGAATCACAGTCCAAAACGATGTTTTAACTAACTTCACAAGTGTATTGTTTTTTTTGTCTCGAACCAATGTATTCCAGGAAACCACCTCGAGCGTGAAAATTGAGTTCTTCTCAGAAAATCTTGGAAAACTGGCGGCATGTTTAATAAGCCAGCCCTCCGGGCTTTCTGCGAGATCTTACAAAGGCAGCAGTTCATGCACACACGGAATGATCCATCATGTGGCAAAGATGAAGAATGTTGTCCGTCTCTTTTAAAAACCATTATACAGGCATACACAACGTTTCATACACGCTGTAAACTTTTAGACTTTAGGCACAGCAAATAAAAATGTAAGGCAGATCAATATTCAAGTAACCATAACATGTACATCCAATTTGCAATGCAACACCATTTAATGCCTTTCAGATAGGGATAATGCTGATATTTATATATAAGTGCTGATGACTTACCTTATTACAAGAACATTTATCAAGCTGTAATAGGCCCTTAAACAGTGTGCAATGGGTGCAATATTTGTGATATTGATATTGTGGCTTATGAAAAAAATCCTTAAATGAAATAAAAAAAATACTTTAGATGTCTGCATATGCCAAACTAGAAATATTTCTGTCAGTATAAGGAATAACTCATAAGTTATGATAGTTACTGTTTATACATTTTTAAGAGCGTTGTGAAAATCACTTCAAACAACGGCCAACACCAACTGTGGGTGCTATGTACAAAGATTCACATGGAGACTCGTGTAGCTCCTGCAGCCTTGCCCCGTAATGCCACTGCAAAAGAACGTCAAAAACACCTGATCAAAGTGTAAAGTCCACAACTGTATGGCTTAATATATCCAGATGTGTCCAGCCTTATTCAAAGTCTCATTTAGAGTCTTCTCACAGATGACTGTCGGTGGCTGGAATGGAAGAACTTTAAGTACGAAATTAAGATGTTTGGTTCCACCCCCCTCCCATCCCCAAACAGCCGATTTAATTAATGATCGATCTTGATCTTTCTTCCAGTAGTCGGGTGGCAGCATGGTCCAAATCACCACGAGGCTCTCAATGGAGTGGGAAGTCCACGCTAAGGAAGGTGCTGGAAGACTGCCGAGATGCGGCTTCGTAGAGTTGTTGCTTAAATTATTTTTTTTATTCTCTCAGTGCCTTTTGTTTGCAGTTGCCCCGCCCCATCCCTCGTGTCTTATAATCGAGCAAGTCACAGAATAGTGCATTTGAAAAAGCTGGACTTCTTTGGCTGTTGCGTTTGGTTCATCTGGAGCACATTGTTGTCTTGGTGAGAAATGCCCTCCTGCAAAACAAATAAAAATACAATGATGTATTTGTGAAGCACCTGAACACGGCCTACATCTCAAGACAAAGTGCAGTATTTATTTTCGAGAGAGAGGCAGTCACAGCCATGGGCAGATGCGACGAGGAAGGTCTCAAACGCCTGGACTTAAAACACAGGAGCAGGGAGTCAGCAGAAAGCATGGCAGGGGAATAGAGTTACAAACTATGATCATAATTCAGAAAATGTGGCATTCAAGCCAATATTATTGCACAGGGATATTTACAAAAGCATTGTGCTTCACGGACACAGTGTGCAATAGTTTTATAGGAGGTGATGATGTTACTACGTGCATGATGTCGGCAGACAATGGCCTACTCTTTTCACTGTGAAACAGGAGATGTGCATTGTAGTGTTAATAGACCTGCAGTATTAACCAGGGTGGCTTGCCGGATTCAAACTGTAAACTATGGGAGCAGCAGCGGAGAGTGACCATCCTCTCAATGAGCAAAGTTTGACTTTACACAGATGAGCACTGCATTAGACAAACCGACACAATCCTGAGAAATCTCACACTGCAACTGTAAATTGTATTGATTTACAAATACAAAATATAAGCACCCCCCGTATAGCCTTTTAACAGACTGATGGGGCAAGTGTTGTATGAAGGCCAGCACAGCGCACAAAGGGGTGGGTGGCCAACATCAAGCCCGGCCACCTTTGTTTACACACCGCGCCAGGTACTAATTTGATGCCAAGTCAACCTCGGGGAGGCCCAGGACCAGTTCAGATAATCGTTAGTGGTGGTGGTGTTGGCCGTGAGCGGGAAACGAACTCGAATCGCTGGGTTAAGTAGGACACAGGGCTAACTGCTACACTACCACTCCCCATATGTGCATTACAAAGAGTAGTTGACGCACCTCAAGCAAACCGTTTTTGTATAATTTTCAGAGCTTAAATTTGCCGAAGAGCTAAAACATCTCATTCAACAGGGTTTATTTTTCGTGAAGTAATTGGTCAGCGCTGCGCGGTAACCTACGACTCACATACACTCGAGAACCCAGTTTAACCACGGTGTGGATGAAACACAGAATCCAACCCAGGATCTCAGCTGTGCCGGCTCAGTGACCTCACTGTTAACCCTTTCCGATGATGTACGTCATCGGAAGAAAACTAAAATAACTTTATCGGTACCGAGGCTCCCATGCGGGAGGGCATGTGGCACAGTTTGGCATCAGATATCATAGAGTGCGGTCGTATACAACGTCTTTAAAAACAACGGTGCTTTGCGTCTCTAAATAAAATGAACACAAAGCGCTTGCGTGTTACGAGATTCAGCGGTGAATGGGGCTCACCCTGCAACGTGCAGATGTCTCGGAACGGGTTACAAAAGCCTACCAAATTAGCAGGACAGCCATTATCCCAGGTGCGGTGTGGTCAGTTACCCCTACACAGCAGGGATAACCATTACCCTGCCCCCCCCCCCATTTAGAGCAGATGCAGCGAACCACGCACACGAGAGAAAATACATTGCAGCAAAGTCAACTGTAAAGAAGGCATACATAGGCTACGGATGTAATGGTGTACCCAGCAATTAATAGGTTGAGAATGTGTACTCAGACACTGCCATGGATACCTTATTGTGATGATTCAGATATTATAGATACAAATATATATCACATTTATAACACACGGTATTCAGTAAATGTAAACGTATACGCACTGACATATATTTTAGATATCTTCCACTCAACTATAAGTCAGTTTCGATTTAAAGCTTTCGTGACTGCAAGGATGTATCTTCTTTGGTTCTTTCGGTAAAGTCACGTAGAATGAAAATAAAATAACACAATAAAATTCTCACGACGTTTCGGCCACACGAAAACGGCCGCTTGCGTTGTGGCCGAAACGTCGTGAGAATTTTATTGTGTTATTTTATTATTTTATTCTCATTCTACGTGACTTTACCGAAAGAACCAAAGAAGATATAGGTCAGCTGTCACCGGTTTCTCAAACTCGTGACAACTGCATTTTGGCATCATAAAAACTCTGCACTTCAAAAGTGAGAGAGTTTAACGTTAACAGTTCACAGTCGACGATGCAGAAGTGCAAAGGAGTTGGAAGCTGCTTTCAAAGGCTTTGCTCACTGTGCACAGGACTTACAAATTTCTTGTCCATTTTTGCCTTTATGTCTCTTGCTAGGGTGAAAAAAGCCTGTTGGAAACACACAACAACAACAGCGGCATTGGCTCAGAGAGATCACCTTACCACACTAATACCTGTCTGATGATTCGGAATATAATTAGACGCAAGCAGGGTTAGTTTACTCATCCGTTTTTGGGCGAGTGCTGTTACCAGGCACCTATGAAGGCCAATAATTTGCACGAGGGGGTGAGTGACCAGCATCACACCTGGCCGCCTTTGTCTCCCCGGTGGCGACGCTAATACACCTACAGTGAGGGAAAAAAGTATTTGATCCCGTGCTGATTTTGTACGTTTGCCCACTGACAAAGAAATGATCAGTCTATAATTTTAATGGTAGGTTTATTTGAACAGTGAGAGACAGAATAACAACAAAAAAATCCAGAAAAACGCATGTCAAAAATGTTATAAATTGATTTGCATTTAAATGAGGGAAATAAGTATTTGACCCCCTCTCAATCAGAAAGATTTCTGGCTCCCAGGTGTTTTTTATACAGGTAACGAGCTGAGATTAGGAGCACACTCTTAAAGGGAGTGCTCCTAATCTCAGCTCGTTACCTGTATAAAAGACACCTGTCCACAAAAACAATCAATCAATCAGATTCCAAACTCTCCACCATGGCTAAGACCAAAGAGCTCTCCAAGGATGTCAGGGACAAGATTGTAGACCTACACAAGGCTGGAATGGGCTACAAGACCATTGCCAAGCAGCTTGGTGAGAAAGTGACAACAGTTGGTGCGATGATTTGCAAATGGAACACACAAGAACTGTCAATCTCCCTCGGCCTGGGGTTCCATGCAAGATCTCACCTCGTGGAGTTGCAATGATCATGAAAACAGTGAGGAATCAGCCCAGAACTACACGGGAGGATCTTGTCAATGATCTCAAGGCAGCTGGGACCATAGTCACCAAGAAAACAATTGGTAACACACTACGCCGTGAAGGACTGAAATCCTGCAGCGGCCGCAAGGTCCCCCTGCTCAAGAAAGCACATATACATGCCCGTCTTAAGTTTGCCAATGAACATCTGAATGATTCAGAGGACAACTGGGTGAAAGTGTTGTGGTCAGATGAGACCGAAATGGAGCTCTTTGGCATCAACTCAACTCGCCGTGTTTGGAGGAGGAGGAATGCTGCCTATGACCCCAAGAACACCATCCCCAACGTCAAACATGGAGGTGGAAACATTATGCTTTGGGGGTGTTTTTCTGCTCAGGGGACAGGACAACTTCACTGCATCAAAGGGACGATGGACGGGGCCATGTACCGTGAAATCTTGGGTGAGAACCTCCTTCCCTCAACCAGTGCATTGAAAATGTTTCGTGGATGGGTATTCCAGCATGACAATGACCAAAAACACACGGCCAAGGCAACAAAGGAGTGGCTCAAGAAGAAGCACATTCAGGTCCTGGAGTGGCCAGCCAGTCTCCAGACCTTAATCCCATAGAAAATCTGTGGAGGGAGCTGAAGGTTCGAGTTGCCAAACGTCAGCCTCGAAACCTTAATGACTTGGAGAAGACCTCCAAAGAGGAGTGGGACAAAATCCCTCCTGAGATGTGTGCAAACCTGGTGGCCAACTACAAGAAACGTCTGACCTCTGTGATTGCCAACAAGGGTTTTGCCACCAAGTACTAAGTCATGTTTTGCAGAGGGGTCAAATACTTATTTCCCTCATTAAAATGCAAATCAATTTATAACATTTTTGACATGCGTTTTTCTGGATTTTGTTGTTATTCTGTCTCTCACTGTTCAAATAAACCTACCATTAAAATTATAGACTGATAATTTCTTCGTCAGTGGGCAAACGTACAAAATCAGCAGGGGATCAAATACTTTTTTCCCTCACTGTACACCATGTACTCATTTGAGGTCAGCCTCAAATGAGTACATGGTGTAGGACCAGTTCAGATAATCGTCACTGGTGTTGGCCATGAGCGGGATGCCAACTCGGCTCGCCCGATTCGTAGCGCCTCGGCTCTTCTGCCACCCACACTACCCTGAAGTCCCACAGCCCTATGACACCCTCTTTGAGCTTGGTGGCTGCCCATCCAAGCACGATCCAGGCTTAACTCTGCTTAGCTTCCAAGATCTGATGAGATCACTCCACTTGAGGTGATTTGTTCCTGGGGAATTGTAGAATATATCAGTAAATGTGACTTGGTTAAGAAAGTGAAAAGTTTGCAAAGCTCATGCCAAGTTAAGACCTTATAACACACCTCTCTGGTGTCTAATTGTACGGGGTCTGGAATGTGTGTGATGTCAATAAAAACAAGATGTTGACAACCCCAACACGCTGCGCTCTGCTACCAAAACGGTGACATGGCCCAGCAGTAGTGCATTCGCCGTTTGTTGCCGAGATTCTAATGCGGCAGGCCAACACCCTGTCTAGTACTGTGGGTGGATTAACCGGAAAGAAACGTGCCCTCAACTTCGCAGCAGCCGTTAAAAGATCCCGTGACATCAATGGAAACGAGCAGGGCATCGTGTGTCGGCGCCATTGGTCCAAATTTGCCGAATTTAAAAAAAACGACCGACATATTACTCATTTAATATTGCACGTGGCAAGGCCGCACCATACTAACAGAATATATCTGTCGTGAAACGGTACCAATACGTAATAGCCGCACGCTAAATGAATGGTGAAAAGCAAATTTATAAATGAAACAAATTATTGCTTACCTCCTCCACATTTATGCTCGCTTTGGCACTTGTCTCCATGAACTTAATCCCATACTCCGAGGCAAACTGTGGTCAGAATGTAACACAGAATCAGAACCTTTTCTTCATCTGGAGAAATCCGATGAGCTATGAAACTCAATTTTCTCACACAAAGATTGACATTTAACCGATTTTCACAGAAAACAGGCTTTTGCAATCTAAAAAAACATTTAAATACCATATGTATAATTTACTTTATCGTTACTTGATCAGCAGTATGTGAATCCACTGCTGGAAGATGACCTCCCTGCACTGTACGGGTCGTGGGGGATATTTGATACTTCACCACGCTGGTCAGTATGTCGGTGAAGGTGAGGAGCACAGGCGTGTAACCACACAAGTACAGCACAACAATCGATGTATTTCATTATCCAGGAAAGCCACTCCCGAGTCATAGGGCTCTCAGTGAGGAGGGTCCTGCTACAGCGGGGTTTTTATTTTAACGTGTTTCAGCCAATTAACGATGAGCGTGTTTATTACTCACGCAGCAGGAAACCGGAGCGCCCAGAGAAAACCCACGCACGTGGGGGGTGAGGTGGGGGGGGGGGCAACACTTCAGTGCATCCACACGAGGGCGCATGGCAAGCTGCACGCCAGTCAGCGTAGGCTACTCGCAGTGGCCGTCCCCATGCCACCGTGGTGCGTCGCCAACGTTTAAGCGGCGAGGTGCGCGAGTGCCCAGTTCAGGGCTGATATTTAAATCTGCTCTGACCTTCTCGCCCCTCTCCCGGGACACCTGCCGGCGGTCGTTCATGTCGCACTTGTTTCCCAGAATCATCCGCTCCACGTCGGCGGAGGCGTGCTGGAGAAGACAAAGAGGCGTGCGGATTAATGGAGGTGACGTTTTTTGGGGAAGGCTGGGCAGAGTGGCAACACACGTGCCTCACAGCAATGGGATCGCTTCCCACCTCGGGCGCCTTTCTAAACAGAGTTTACATTCCCCTCCCTGTTCTGCATCGGTTTTCTCCAGTTTCAATCAATCATTATTATAAGTGTCAATATCACCCTCAATAAAAAATAAAGTATACATCGGGGGGCAGGGAGCAGCAGGAATGGAATAAGCAGAAAGAAGCCCTCAGCGGCTAACACCTGACTGAAAAAAGTAAATTTGGTTTCATGGTTTCTTTCTAAAGTAAAAGAAAAGAATCAAAATGTAACTGGCACTTGATAACCATCCCAAAGGCGGAAAAATGTACCTGCAACAGTATTAAACTGGGATTCCACGTAGCAACATCGCCTATTTCAGCAAAAAACTAGGCAGGATCCTCCCGAGTCTTGAGACCCAGTGAGGCTTTCCTGGGTACACAAGTGAAATAACACGAATACAAACTAGAGCGCACAAAGTTGGGATCCCCATAAATGCATTGCTTAAGTGACTCGTATACAAGCACAACCTACAGGCCTTATGCCAAACTACTGCTGGATGAGGGCCTCCCTAAGCCTTATAGGTCATGGGGGTTAAATGGCCGTACACACTTAACCCACGCTAGTCAGTGCAAGTTGGTGAATGTGGGGAGCCCAAGTGGGAGCATCGAAGTACAATGTAATGATGTATTTTGCTGTACTACCCTTTGCTACTAAACACATATTCCCAGGGCAGGGGCCTATATAACACGCTTTAATTTTTTTATTTTAGCAGAAGTATTTTATTGAAGAGAAATAAAAAAAAACAAGGGAAGATAAAACATACGGTCAGACGGGGCTGGGTGGGGGGACGCGAGGGGTAAAGCTCAGTGGAGGTTGGAGGAGACGGAGTGGAGGGGTGATACTTTGAGGAGTAAAAAACATTTTTACGCACTTCTCCAGGCTCAACCCTATGTGGCTCCGGGGCGCATTTCGGGCGAGTGCGGTTGTGACGTTCACTACCAACGCAATGTACTTTCTTTAAAACGGTAACATCATCATTCACTACAGATTGAGACCGTTTCTACAGTTGTGCATTGCTTCTGTAACAGGCATAACACAAATCGATTTGTATGTGTAGAGTACAGTAGCAACCGAACCGTGAACATGCCATGCAATTTACTTAACTCTATGACAGCCTAAGGCACCCTTCATAGTCGCAACATCCAATGTCATTTTAAAAACGAGCGAAACGCAAAAAATGAGTGCAAAAAATGCTTGCGTGCGATAGATCGGCGGCATCGTTACCTCTTCGATATTTCGTATCCAGTTTTTTATGTTTTCAAACGACTTGTCGTTTGTGATGTCGTACACGAGCATAATTCCCTAAGCACAAAACACACAAACATTGTTAATGTTACGCATGGCACTTAGAATGCATGATAAAATCGTGAACACGCCTTGATTCGTCGGCCGTCATATAAATGCCAATAAGTGTTTTGCGAGTCTCTGCGCCGTAACAATAATGGATCAATGGATATTGTAAACACCAAACAGCAAAGTCGCCAGTTAGGGGAGGGGCAAACCAAAATGGAAACTTTTTGAAGAAATTATATCACTACAATTGCAATTTCAGTGGATATATATAGAAATAAGATGGTAAACGGCACACACCATACGTGTTTTTATAAATGTGGAACGATCCCTTATGGAGGAAGCTAACAGCAGGGCACAACCACCGTCTGGATGCCGTGGCTTTCCGGACACAGCCCAACATGGTGTACCAACTAATTTGTGGACAAATATCACGGTGGTATTTTTGGAGTCCCGAGTTTCCCTACTTTCAACAATGAGCCATAGATTATTAGTATTTATCATTGTATATAAGTATGTAGAACTTCTTTCACACCGTACATAACCAACCATGCTAATCAGGTGTTTGTTTACCCAGGAAAGTCTCACCGAGTGTCATGGCCTTTCCCAGGAGGGTCTTGGCCAAGCTTTCACAGTAGGGGGCTATGATAATTGCTATTTATAAGCAATGTGTGGGGAATTTTAACAAAAAATTGCCAAAATTGGTACCGAGATACTGGCACGTAACGGCCTACTCATGTGAACGACATGACAGGATCTTTAACGTCAACTGTGAAGCAGACGACGCGTATTTCTTGCGGTCAAAACACCCGCAGTAATAACCAGGTCTGCCCGTGAGACTCGAACCACAAACTTCCGCAATGAGCAGCGAGCGCACAACCGCTAGGCCGCGTCACGCCGCCCATGGACGCTGATGATGCCGATCTTTTTGAAATACACGAGAGTGCACAACACAGTCGGCTCAGTACTGAGTCGACAAGTTGCTACCGTCACAGTCCTGTACAAAATGCGCACCAACCACTGCCCCACGAACCTTCAGGCCATGCTTCCACCCCCATATGAAAGACACCGTGCCACCCGGACAGAAGCTCCCTTCTTCCTCACTCTGCTGTATGGATATGGAACTGCCTCCCCTCAACACGTTGTCGGCGAAATCACCGATTCTGGTCTTCAGGCCTTCAAAGGCCGAGCACATGGAAATCTCCTAACTTCACCTCACGTCTTGTAGGGACTGAGTCTTTGAGCTGCAGTGAACCAATGATTATGCTGGTCAGATGTAATAATGTTTGATATGGCTGTTGTTCACAACTGCACCCAAATAAAACTAAAATTTGAATACAATGATATTTTGTGGATCCTGTCTGGTGATCGACAGTGACCACCAGGAGCCATCAGCTCGTAGTGGGGAACCCCCAACTTCAAGTGCGGCCGAGCCACTCCACGGCAGTCAATTTCTATCTGCTCAGGCGTCGCATCATCAGTGAGAAAACCCGTAAGTCGCTCCCCTACCATGGCGCCCCTGTAGTACGCCGTCGTGATGGTCCTGAATCGCTCCTGACCAGCTGTGTCCCTGCAAATACGCGCATCAAGAAAGCAGAAAACGGAGCCATCGTCATTAAGAAAGTGATACATCTTGAATAATGAACAAATGTAATTCTGTAAAAATTTTACAAGGTGTGAAGTGCAGTCAACTTGGTTTGATGAGAGGATAAAGACAAGCAAATTGCAAAAATGAAGATAAATATTAGAATTGCATCATGAACAAAGTTTACACTTTACAGCATATGCAAATGTTGTTAATACTGAATTGGTCACTATTTTCTGCACACATCACACCGATTCAAATTGTATTTCTGGGTCAGATCGCCGTGCGAGTTAAAAATGCCAATGTGGGTCTACACCCTCCCCCACCAGACACGTACAAATAAAGTTGTCTCGTGGACAAACGTACACACTTATGGTTGCTTCAACACATCGGTATGTTGGAGAGGATCCACCCATGCTTAACAATATTGGTCAATGTATTAAATAACACATCAAGCATTTATGACGCTAAGCAATTCATTTCAAATGGTCTCTGGTTTCCTCACCATATTTGAAGCTTGATTTTTTTGCCATCCAAGTCGACTGTTCGGATCTTGAAATCAATGCCTTGAAAAATAAATTACACATTTGTCAACTTACACATTATCACGGTTCAGACACAATGCAGACACGACGCCACCCGTAGAGGCAAATTAATAAACAGTTACAGTAAAAGCCTCCATTATAGTGGGGCCATAAAAGCACACCCATCATATAACAGAACAGGTTGGTCAAGACCAAGCTGTTTGTATAAATATTCCTGCAATGTTAGACTGAAATGCTTTGAGTGCAAGAGTCGTTTACGCGTCCGCTTAGTAACGCTGCCAAACTACTGCCACACTAAGCCGAAGAGTCCGTCCGCTTTCGTTCAAGTTATCGCCAAAAAATCCGGGCAGACGTGGGCCGATTCTGCGTGTAAACTAGCGCTGGGTAAAACGAGCACCAAATCACCGCTCGACTGCACCTCAATACCGACACACACACAAAACACCCAGGCTGCCAGCGCGGCTTTCCCGAGTGAACGCCTCACCAAGCTGTGGCCCCTGCCGTTAATTTGTAGCGTGCGTAAATAGGGCGGCCTCCTTTTATTGCAACCTCGCCTATTTTATGCACCAAGGATTCAAAAAGCTGATGCCCAATGAGTTCAGCTCGGCGAGTCGTGAGTTTATTATAACTTGACAATGCATGTATGTAGAACTTCTTTCGCACCGGACGAAGCCAACCGTGCTAATCGGATGTGCGGACAATGTATCTCAACACTGCTTTTCCAGTACAACAATTGCACATGTATAGAGCCCTTCTGCCAATCCTCTGCTCGATGAGGGACAAGTGGGTCACAGTGGTTATTCGATAATACTTCACCAAGCTGGTCCTTGTGGGTAGGTAATGCAGAAGCGTAGAAGTACAGAAACAATGAATTTTTCTGCACTGAAATCATCATAGCACTGCCCTGTACGTCACACCATATATCACTGAAGTCAATGACAACCTATTTGTGTGGATGGTGGACCCATCTAAGCACGAGTGAACTCTGTGTAGATTATCTGATGTGACCAGGTGCTACCGAGATAGTCTTAGGTCCAACACATACATCTACTTATTTAAACGTGAATTTGTGGGTAAAACTCCTTCGGCATATTAACTTTAAGCATAAATAGCTTTCCGAACTCACGAAATACACTGTACAAACATTTCGACAGCTTTCTCGGTCAAGCTGACAAACTTTAATGAAGTCAGAGAAGTCAAACTTCGAAGTTGTGAACGCGACAAACGGAATGTTAAATAACTATAAATAAATAAACCATACACGGCGTTGTTCCCCGTCACAATTGCCTCCAGCAGAGCGCTATCGTGCAGGGCCACACCCCGTGGAGCGGTGCCCCAGCCAGAGTTCACGCTGACCGAAGCAAGTCGCGAAAACACTACAACTACACTTCATCTACGGATGCCATGCGGATACCCTATGGGCAAAACAAATAAAAAGCAAAATCCACGTTTGTGCAAAAATGTAAAACCTCTCCTCCTTCCACCCGTGAATTTCAGCAAGGCACTCGTTTGCTGCCCTGCCGTGCGTTGGCACTAAACACTTCACTAAAAATACTTTAGGAGTTGGTGAAACAAGCCAACACAGAATCATCATGAGCACAGGACTTGAGACTCTAATGACAACACAGTACGTACTTTGCATATCCGACAATCACACAACCACCCTGACCTAATTAACCACCTATGCCCAGTGCAGTAAGTTGCGCAAGGTGTAACTGTGCTTCTCTTATGGGTGTTTATAAGTCTGACCATTTCACACGGTCATGTTTTACTTAATATTGTGTACATTCGCTCACTACTGAAGCACAATCAAGCATTGTCCCATGTTTGAAGAAGTTTGCACTCTATTTTTGTCCAGTGACCTATTTGTGAATGAAGGAGTAAACCATCTCTTTCTACAGGTGTTCACATATCCGACCATTTCACGTATCCGCCTATACCAAAGTCCCCAGCAAGTCTTCAACGCGAAATCTACAAGCCAAACTGGCTCCCCTGTTTCTGCCAAAATAATCATTCAAAGGTGCTTTATAAAAGTAATACAGTATTATAACTTCGCAAATTACCTGTAATGAAACAGCAGTGGAGTCTCCAGATATACTTAGGCCACTTCATGTATCTTTGAGGGTTTCCTTGTTACTCAATATATTTTAATGACACCACGTTTATGGAATAATAAAATGTTTCATTTAATTTATTCAGCTTTTCAGGCACCAAAGTGAAAAATCTAATCTCCAACAACAAGCCAGCCTTTCAATCATCTCTCTAGTTTGAAGGGCCTTTGCGTGAAAGTTTAGCCTACTATATATTATTATTTATAAAGTAGAGAGAAATTGTAACTTGCGAGCTCAAATTAACGCCGCAAAAATCTTACGAGAAAACATTTGAAACTTAATCAAATGAGCATTGGGGAGACACTCATCTCTTGTTTACAGCCCTGAGATAATAGCAGAAATTCCACATTCCTCTGGCGAGGGAGTAAACCATGAAACAACCTCCACCAGCCACGATCAATCCACTGCTGCATGAAGGCCTCCCAAAATGACGTCTCTATGTCGTGATCATACGATGTAACAAACCCACTTGTTCATGATTAAAGACGACAACTAAATATTATACTCCTGTTGTAAAACACTTGTGTGTTATTGGTGTTTTAAGGCATCAGTGTAATATTTATACATATTACCAACGAATTAAACTTGAGAAAATATGTTAGTTGTCTTGTGCAGACATCGAAAAACTGACACTTTACTGGTGACCTTAAACTTTTCTGTAAAGCGAAACAAATTTATTGAAGGTAAAGTCGAGGACAGTGGTCTCCTGTCAAAGCGTTTACTCAATGATACCTGCTTGGCTGCTGCTGCTACCAACATCATGAATGTGAAACTCCAACTTCCCGTATGCAGGCCATATCTTCAGGAAAACTTACAGACCAAAAACCCCTTTCTGCGAGGTCCCCCTGTGAGTAGTTTGCCTAAGACCCCCCCACTGCTCCCATATTTATTTTAGGTGAATCTCTGCCTCGGACGGTCGCTGATATGCTATTTACATTGCAAAGCCCATTCGTGGGTGGCGCCAATGATCTCTCTTGCCTTTGCCCTTCAATGTGTGGCACAAACCTCATTGCTGATCCCATCTCTCATATTTTTAACCTCTCCATCCAGGATTCTTCAGTGCCCAAGGAATATAAAACTGACTTTGTGTGTCATATTTGTAAAGGAGGTGCCACTGGAGGCACAAATAACTGCTGAGTGATTTTCATGTCATCCTATCATGATCAACATTTTTAAAAAGGTACTAAATATACAATATACTGACTTCATCGTCTTTGGTTCTTTCGGTAAAGTCACGTGACTTTACCGAAAGAACCAAAGAAGATGAATCCTTGCAGTCACGAAAGCTTTAAATCGAAATATACTGACTTCATCCAAAAGCAATCAGGCTTTAGCAAAAAGTTCAGCACAACACCGGCGGTGATAGACACTCCTGATTTTATCTTCAACATTCTGGATAATAAATACCACTTTGACTTACTCTGAATGCAACTAAACGATTTAAAACGTTTTAACGCCTGCAAGATTAAACTATTGGCGTTGTATAGAAAACGGTGAATTAACGTCCCCACTTCGAAATGTATGGCGTTCAACTTTCAACAAACTGAACTTGTCGACAAATTTATATACCTAGAGGTGTCATCTTCGATCACAAGCTATTTTATTTCTAAAAAAATAAATGTGAAAATGTACTTCCTGTACTGAAATAAACTTAGCATTCCACCCTAACTACAATTATATATTGTTAGTGCCATTAAACTCTCAATCTTCAACTACTGTGATATTATTGACAGACTTGGTGTTGGCCGAGCGGTAAAAGTCTGGTTCCATTTTCCCACTCCGCACTTCGTTTTGCCCTCGATGCCCCCCCTACAGAATCCATCACCACTGTGAACTTTAAACGCTCATCAGCTCCCCCTTAATCTACGCAGGGAAAGGCATTGGGCCATCTTCATCCTCAAAGTCACTAAACACAAAAAGCAGTTCTAAAGAAATGCGCATCCGAAAGCGCGCGATGCAGTGTCTTTGTAAGGACGGACACTGCATCACGCGGTTATCGCATCGCTTTCAGATGCGCTTCTGTGGCCGTCTGGAACGCTCTCCGTTCGATATTAGGAAGCCACTGGAGCTATGCACTTTTAAAAGCTAGATTGAAGGCTAATTTCTTTAGAACTGCTGTTTGTGTTTAGTTTTCTTGTCCTTCCCCCTGCACCTCCGATGAGCACCATTGGCTACGTACGATGCAAAAGAAGTTCAACATACGTACAAAGTGTTCATTTAAAGCTTTCGTGACTGCAGGGATTTATATTCTTGGTTCTTTCGGTAAAGTCACGTAGAAGGGAAACAATACGTGACTTTACCGAAAGAACCAAGAATATACGTACAAAGTGTTACAGAAATTCAGAATAAAGGTTTTTGGGTTAGATCGCGTAAGTATAAATGTGTCGAAACCCTCCACCACCCGACCAATCAATAAGAGATTTGTCACGTAAACAAAACGCCAAATAGTTATTTCAGCCCACACAATACCTTTCCGTACGTGCTTGTGGTACCATATTGAGGCACGACCTCGCCATTCGGAAGTTGACCATGCACAACATTGTGTTCGATGCTTGTTGTTGCTTTAACAATGTGTCTATTGTGTAACCAGGTTCTCGCCGGAAATGGGCATTCATTATTGCCCAATGGGATTTTCCCGGTGCCAAAATAAATCAAACCAAAGCGATCACGAACAGGATAAACACTTAAGACTGAAACTCTGGATAAGGCTGCGTCACACGCTTGCCTTATTTTAGTCACGGTTGCCGAGCGGTCCACAGGAGGCCCGAACCTACCAAGCGGCCGGGAACAAACAGCACTATGCAACTTGTACGAGACGAAAGTTGCTACGTTTATATTAATAATAATACAAAATTATGTCATTTAATAAACATGGGAAAAAGATGCGACGGGAAGGAAGTCTAAAAACATCGGCAGCCTACAGAGGGCTAACATCGGCACCCCCCTCGACCCGAACTTTCATGTAAATTTTGTTCCGCTCATTCTCCCAAGCTTCAAACTCTCGCCGGACAACGTTTGCCGGGCAGCACCACAGCCTCGGCGCGTGTCGGTCTGCCTTGCACGGAGATAACCTCCGAGTGAGGTTTGTTTATTCTTTGTCTGGGCCTGTATCCACTTGTGCGAGAACACCCGCTTCACCCGGACTGCGCCCGATTCTCGTCGGATCTCGGAAGCCACCACCGGGCAAGGGTTGAAGCTCGGACAGCCCTAGCGAAGACCGACCACCAACCAGCATGCACAAGCAGGCCGCCCGAGGGCTTGGTGGTGAGAGTGAGGCAGAGGAAAACATCGGCGAGAATGCCCGAAACGTCGACGCGTCACGCGTCCGCGCTCCTCGCCGTCAACTTTCGAGGCCGCACCGAGTAGCGCGGGCTGAGGAATGGTCACGCAGCGCACAGGGCAAAATAACGTTGTACACGTACGAGGAATATAACGTTGTACAAGGAATATAACAAATCAAGAAGTAGTATAATCACGTTGGACACGTACGCTTCGCTCACCGGGCACGCCCTGCCGCGCCACTGACGGCCGCCTCTCGAATAAACGAGTTGCCAAAGCTGCCACCGTCAACAACCGCGGCACCGACACGGCCACAACAACAAACGCCACTCGCCACCGAGTGGTGGTGACGACACCACGGCGTTTGTGCCAGGCTAGGTGCACCTTGAGACCGAGACGGCGCGCGCTCGCGCGCACAGATGCGCTTCTCTGTTCTCGGCGTCTCACCGATGGTGGAGATGAAGGTGGAGTTGAAGGCGTCCTCGGAGAACCTGAAGAGGACGCACGTCTTGCCCACGCCGCTGTCTCCGATGAGCAGAAGTTTGAACAAGTAGTCGTACGCCTTCGCCATCTTTGCTCCGCAGTGACGTCACCGGCGCGGGTCGTGACGTCATTTCACTGACGACGATGAAAGGGGGGGAGTTGAGAGCCGCGAGGTGACCTCATCGCAGCGTTTCGTGACGTCATTTATTACAGAAAGATTGACGGACGCCGCGGCGTGACGTCATCAAAACATATGTGACGTCATGTTGCTGGTAACAACGTCTCAAATATTGGGTCAATGACAATGTGCGGCCTGAAAAGTCGACAATAGGCGACATTTCAAGCAATTACCCTTCTCCAGGATAAATATCAATTCTGATATGTTAACATGTCTCGTGAGATGACATCAAAGGATCCGTGACGCAATTTACAGAACACAGAGACGTCAAATAATCTGTCAATTCGTCGACGAGTATCCGTGAGACGGGTCCGTGACGCCATCGTGATGTTAACAGGTTTTCCGAACGCGGGTTACGTCACCGCCTGGCACGTGACGCGCCTCGACGAACGCCACGCGCGTCACGTGATGCGAGGTGGGGGGAGGGGGTCTGACGCTTCGCAGCGGCCACCTCGTTCAGGCACAACGTGGCTTCGGTGGCGTTGTGTACTTTATTAACGAGAGAGGATTGTACGAAATGAGTAGTCACGCGTCATCTTTGCTGAATATGAGTAACGAGCCTACAGCCCAAGGACGGGTGTATTGCAGTAAATATGAAATATTAAAGCGAAAAGCAGACAGTGACGTCATATTCACACATAACATTTTGATTGACGGTTATATCCCTTGTTCATCATGACGTCATTTTTCCTTCTATGTCTCAACAGCGTGACGGAGTTCGCGTGAAATGAGGGTTTCTGGCTTTTTAATGAGAGTTAAGTTATATTCTTTGGGTCTTTCGGTAAAGTTACTTAAATAGGTTCAAAGAAAATAACAAAAACTACGGTCGACCGCTTGTGTTGCGATCGAAACGTCGTAGTTTTTGTTATTTTATTTCAACCTATCTACGTGACTTTACCGAAATACCCCCAAAAATATGAATTCCTGCAGTCACGAAAGCTTTGAGTCCAGAGTTAAGTTATCGGTGAGGAGGGAGGAGCCGCCTCCCACCCCATGTAGAGTGACGTCACCTGCTCATGATTATTAATTTCTGGGTGATTATAGGAGGTAATGAGGAAAAAAATGAATGGATGTCAAGGCAGAATTCCCCAAGACAGACAAAGAGGCAAGCTTCAAATGAGTATCTGGTATGGTGTGCAAACATCACCACTGGGGAGACAAAGGCGGCCGGGCGCGATGCTGGCCACCTACCCCCTCGTGTGCCGTGCCGGCCTTCATAGGTGCTCACTCACAGCGCTTTCCCCAACAGTCTGTTTAGGCGATACGGGGGATTTTTGTCTTTTGGAGGGTGGGGGGAGGAAGGAATTACCGAACAAAGATGTCGCGAATGAGAGAGTGAGTGATGATCATGATGAGAGGAGAGAAAGGAAGAGAGGGAGAAAAGAGGAGCAAGCAGGCGTGAGTCGCACGGAGGAGCAGCGTCTGTTTTCATAGGGGGCGGGGAGGGGGGCGGGGATTCGGAGTGGGAGTGGCCACGCACGTGTCACGTGGTTTACGGGATGCTTGAGCACCCCCCACTCACTCGCACCCCCACTCACTCGCACCCCCCACTCACTCGCACCCCCCACTCACTCGCACCCCCCACTCACTCGCACCGCACACGCACCCCCAAACCTGCATCTGGGGGTGCACTGGGGCGGGTGGGCGGGGCTTGCGTCCCGCCCGCCCTGCTGAGTGGGAACGTCACTCGCCCACTCCATCCTCCAGGCTGCGGTCTTGAAACAACTGAGATCCCGTCAAGTCCGGCCAGAAACTCAGGAGCGAAGCGCCGCACGCGTTGCCGTAGTCGACAGCAGCAGCAGTTTGGGGTGAGCTTGTTGTTTTGTTGTCGAGATGTTAAACTGCACGTCGACGTGCCTTGTTGCACCTACGCTTGCGTGTGTAGGGCAATGCGTGTCTGGGCATGTCCCAGTAATCGCGCTAAAATTTTTTTTTTATGATAGCACCGCGTGTACACACGCATGTTACTCTTATTTTGTAAATCGTGCTCATGTGTTCAGCGTTTCTGTTACAATTCCGCGTCTACAGACGCAGCCTCTGTGCCCGTGAGCAACTCGAGCCGGGCTGCGTTCGGTCTCGACAGCTGCGCAGAGTTGAGCGTGGACGGTGTCGCGATAGTTGCGTGGCTGAGAAAACACCGCGCACATGAAGCAAGCAAAGCAAAGCACCTCGTCGTCGTGCTTAGGCTGCTGGGTAGTGCCTACGTGAAACAAAGACGACTGTGAAGCAACATCCATTGTTGTACTGTGATTATATGCGCCCGGCTTTCACCGCTCAGCGCGAAGAGTGTTGTTACTTTTTGAGCGTGGGGAAGTTTTGTTATGTAACCTCTCCCCATGGCGTCCGGTGCCAACGGGGTGACGGGGTCCGTCATCCAGCAGGGGATTGACGACGTTGCGCACCGCTGCCAAACGCCGTTTGCTACTGTGATTAAAAGATAATCTTAAACAACTTTCAATACATTTATAACGTGCGACGGTGTTTGTACTGTATGTACAGTATGTTGAACTTCCTTAGCACCGTACGTAGCCAACCGCACGAATCAAGAGGTGCGGGGAGAAGGCACAACAGGCGAACACACTAAAAATCGGATCTAAAGCAATGAAGTTTGTCAATCTAGATGATGATTTAAATGTGGCTATCGGAAGGGAGAGCGTTCCAGACGGCCGCAGAAGTGCATCTGAAAGCCACGATGTTGTTGACGCGAGCGTGGTAAGTTGTGTCATTTCGGCACCACTAACAACCCAGCAGCAGCATTCTTTATTATTTTTCACCTCCATTTGATGGAACGGCGGGGGAATGTTGTTCACGTTCCGCGTGTTAGTGGGCGGTGGTTGCACGTCGACTCGCGTCGCAGGTAAACTTTGAGGTTTGCCCCCAACGTCGTTTCCATCATCAGCCATGGTCAATCCACTGCTGGATGAAGCCCAACCACGAACGCCGCCTGTCAAACACGAGGCAGTGATGGCAGGTGGGGAGGGTCGAGTTGTGTTGAACAACAACAGACCTTTAACCCGACTCATAAACGGTGCCACTGCGTGGCAAGGGTTTTGCAACACCTCCCGCCTCGCGAGCCATCCTTTATTTAACCAAGCAAAGTAATGAGGCGGCATATACAGTCCATGTGTAGAGCGCCTTCTGTTAATCCACTGCTGGATGAGGGGCCACTTTATCTCGACGTCGTTGCCGGTCGTTGAGAGCTCGCATGACCATACTTCACCGCGTCGGTCCAGTGCTGCATGGCGAAAGCTGGTAGTTTAAAGACGTGCATCGTATAATTGCATAAAAATTAAAATGACATTGTTGTTAGGGCCAATAAGGGGCATTGCTTGCAACATGACCAGGGGTCGGCAACCTGCGTCTCGTGTTCAGGGGAAATTGCGGCTCTTGAAGTTGTTTTTAAATACAAAATTCGAAATAATTGGCACTTTTTATAAGTTTGGTTGGCAACCCGTGGCCACGACGAATCGCGTAATGGCAGTTAAGGGCAAGAGAGAGTTTGTTCTGCTTTGATGCTCACTACGCGACTGCCAACACAGCCCCGGGTTGTTTGCGCACGGGCAGCGGCGCGTGTTTTCGTGCAGGTAAATGTTGACAACGCTTCGGGTTGTTGTAGTTTGGGCTCAAGAGACGCGGGGCGCAACCAGCAGATGCCAGCGCCCCACTCGCTCGCTGTGCAATGGCAGCTGCTGTGTGCTGCCAGCGGCGGCCACGTGGTGCCCTGTTCGGCCACGTGGTGCCCCCACGAGCAGTCGTGCCCCGCTCCGCGGGGCCCGGAACCTGCACCGCCCGCGGCCCGAAGCTGCACGTGTTTACCACGGATGTGACGACACGTCGATTCCAGGATACGAGTAAAAGCCTCTCGTGGGGGGTAGCGATTGAAGCAGCGGTTAATCCCCTCACTTGCACGTTCAATAGGCGTGTAACGAACAATCGATAGGCGGCATCGATCATCAATGTCACGTCCACGACGCCTGTGCGACGCATCCCACGTGCTCCATTAACGCCTCTTTCTCCCTGCCCCGCCCACCCCGTGCCGTCCCCTGCAGCTCACTTCGGGAAACCCGTCCAGGGCGTGTGCGCATGCGCGGTGGGGCCCCTCCCTCTTCCCCCTGCGCGCCCGTGGAGTCGCGATGCCTGTGAGTAGCGCCGGGGCTCCGCGGTGGCCTCTCGTCGCGCCCTCCGCTCCCCACGCGACGCCTCCGACCGCGCGAGTCGATGCCGGGCGACCCCGAGATCTCGCGGAGCCGCGGCGGTGGACTCGGCCGCCCGCCGCGGCTTTATTTGAGCTCTGCGCCGTCCTCAGGCCCACGGGGGCTAGGCGAGCCCGGGCTGTTGATGGCGACTAGGCCGCCATTGGAATGAATGGGAGGGGAGGCGGCTGCCGCGTGAATTAGAGAAATATATAATTATGTTGTCGTCTCACGAGGAGATGGAGCGATGGAATCGGCTCCCTCGTGCGGCACGTGCTCCTTTGATTTGTTGCATCGCACTACGCTGGACCGATTGGTGAGGCCTAATATCGAGCCAGTGGATTGGTCAAGGCTGATGTCGAGCCTCATGGTGCATGGACGCCTTTTGTCAATCTGCTGCTGGATGAGGGCCTCGCCTTTGCGAGTTACTCGAACACGCTTTCCCGTTGGTCAGTGTGTGTTAAGGCAGGGAGGACAGACGTGTGACAGCATTAGACGTGAGATGCTCACAGCGGACTCCTTTACACACTGCTGACCACCGCAGCCCTGCGGCTCTTGTGCACGGTGCTTCGCAGGCTGGACCTCGCATGGGGCGAGATGGGGCTCCGTGAGATATGGGGCTCCGTGAGATATGGGGCTCCGTGAGATATGGGGCTCCGTGAGATATGGGGCTCCGTGAGATATGGGGCTCCGTGAGATATGGGGCTCCGTGAGATATGGGGCTCCGTGAGATATGGGGCTCCGTGAGATATGGGGCTCCGTGAGATATGGGGCTCCGT